AAAATAAATATTTCTGGCAATTCTAGATCCTTCTTGATCAGTGATAATTTTGTTTTAGTAATAAGTAAGATATAATAAGGTATACTACTAGTCAAATAAAGTGAGCCACATATAAAAAAGTTATTGTTTATAAAATACAAATATTAATGAAAACTACTATACTTGAAGACATTCAATTGAAATTGGGTATTCAGCTTCTACCCATTTTGGACGCACATGTTGACACAAAAAAGATTTTGGCATCTTTCTTGCTTCATACACATACTAAGAAATATCAGCTAAAACATCTAAAGTGTGATGTGGAACCTAAAAATATTTTGAAGCAATATTTTTATAAAAATAAACATGCAATTGATTTTAACAAACAGCAAAAATAAAAGAATTAACATGTCAGCAATTGATTACTATAGACACTTACTGTAACAGCAGTGTCTTGTAGAACACTGTTACTTGATAATGTTGAACGACTAGCTTCAATAGCTAATTCATAGATTAATTCTAACTGCTGTCTCCTTTGTTTTATCTAAACTTTGATTTTGTAAGATCTCTCCAGTCTCCATTAGGAACATGGCATGACATTTAGGATTATTCATCTGTCTTCCAACAAGCGGCAAAGATTTAAAAATCACATAAAAGTCATAGAGTTGTATGTAGATTATCTGAACCACTTTCAGCTGAATACTTCAAATAACCGGAACATAAATTTTTTTATTTTTTATTTATGGAAGCACTCCACCTTTTAGAATAACAAGTTTTAATATTGAATCACGCACCAGACTTTTACCCCATTTTTTTTCTTTTAACAAATCCCAGACAATGATGTTCCCAGTAGTATTCTAACCGAGTATGTAATGAAAGTAATTAGCAAAGCACTACATTCCATATAGAATGTAGCAGTAAAACCCCTTTTTTTCACTTAAAATTCTATTTCATTCATTTATTAGTATAAACCCTTACACTTTAACATAGGTATCAAACTCTCTAAATCACATTAAGAAATTTTATAGCTGAATCATTGGTTAATGAATGAAGGCGTTACAAATTAATATTTTACTATTAAAGTAGGCTGCTTTGAGTCTGAATATAAAAATCATTACCGTTAAAAAATTCTTGATTTTCAGAATTCATTAATAAATGTAGATTATTAAAATGATGTACCCATATAATTTGAATGTTTCAACTATCTGACAGCTTACTGTACAGCTATATGCAATAAAGAAATATATATATCAAACATTTGCTAAAGGGTTCTTTTGAACCAATAATTTTGTAATTGTAACCGCTATCTATCAGTTTTTTTTTTCATTGAAACAAAGTGATTTTTTCATCATTACTGTCAGCAAGTTTGGCTATTTTTAAAAATTATTCCTTTTTGTTTATGATTTAAAACACTTAGTGTAAACTTCCAACAAAACGATTAATTTTTAAACACTACTCCAGGTTCTAAAAAGTCTCGAAATACCTTTTTGTTAAATATCTAATAATTTTTGGTATAAATTGAAACAACAAAACTTTCAGATTTTTCAGCATATCTAATTAATAAGCGCATGCTTTATCATTTTCATTTAGAAAATGAAAATGAGTAAATATTTTTTGAGGGAAAAAGGCTAAAGAGCTAAAATCACAAAAGATAGAGGGAAAAAAAAACACACCTTCAGCAAGGATCTTCCAAACTGTCTAAAACTTTTCACAGACTCAAGTCAAAAAAATAAATAACCTGCCAAAATATAACATAACCAGATTAAAATTGTGAATGTTGACTACAGATTAACTTAATTTTATAACAGTTTTAATTTGTTAAAAGAGAACGTTGAAGTAAAGATAAAAGAAAAGCATTTTTTAAACTACAGAAAATGTTAAATAATTTATTTTTACACTATTTTTTATGCCTTATATTTTATTTTATTCAGTTCTCACATCTACCATGATTATGGAATGAAATGTAACTGCGATTTATTGTGCTCTTTAAAGCTACAACTTTAATTATCAGTGATTCAAACCACTTAATCAACGTTTTTCAGAAATAATCATGAATATTTTTAGTAGTTTTATAATAAATATACATTTTGACGAATCTAATACCTTTTTTAAAATATTGCTTAATGATATACACTAGAAAAAAAAATATAAAAAATAAGAGTCTTAAATTTTCCTTTTGTATTTAAAATAATTAAAAAAGCAGATTCAGTTACCAGAACAATCATTCAACTACTCAAATGACAAAGTTAGGAAAAAGTACAAATAAGCAATATTTCTTTAAATTGATAAAGTATAGATATTCTCATTGATATGAGTCGAAACTTTTGACAGCACTTTCATTTGTTACATAATGAGTGGTTATTTTTACATATTTTTAGAAATCAATAATATATAACCTCGATTCAATAATATACAACAACTAATAAATACACCATCTCAATAATGTGAAATGTTATTTTCTAAAACCAGCAGAAACAAATTTTAAAAAATTAAAAATTCACAAAATAAAAATAATCACAACTCAAAATCCGCAAAATAAAACACTTAAAATATACTTTTGAGTTTTCTCTTCTGTAGATAAAAGAAACTATTTATGCGTTTGCCACTTAGCAAAAAGAGACAATGCACAGAGTGCATTTGAATAAATAGTTTGAAGTAACCTGTGAATNAATAAAACAACATTCAGCACTTAAGAACAGTGGAAAAAAGAGGGTGAAGATCGAGAACCTGGTTGCAAAATCTGGGCAACTCTTTAAATTTAAGGCACATTGAGAAGACTAACTAAATAATTCATTTTAACCAACTACAGCATGGTGAAATGATTGCAACAGGCTAAGGTTGATGAGCGTAAGCGATAACTATGCATTTTTGGGGAATGCATGTTAAGCCACCTTTCTTAGTTACATACCTATTTTATGAGCCAATTAAGGGAAGCATAAAAACATGAAAAGGCAAGTTTTTTCAACTTAGAATGTTAATGAACCCTTTAATTTAAAAAGTGTATCATAAATCTTTTTTAGTGTTTGAATTGGTACTTAAAGACTTACCTTAAATTCATTAAAATGATGATATTTTCCGTCAAACCAAGATTGAAAAGTATGCAGAGTTTCAAGATGGGAAGATAATGAATCCTTGTGTAAGTCTTTGGCTTTCCGGTCTAGATTCTGAGCGATCAGTGGAAGATTTTGATCTATATAAGAAAAATAAATATATAAGTCAATAATAAACAAAAATATTTTTGTCTTTATAAAACATGTTCTGATATTAGTTTTTTTTTTCAAATCTTAACACAAAAAGAAGACAGAGCATTTTGCTTTCATAACAATTTGGTTAAACCAGAATGGATTTTCAACTTAATGACCTCATAAAAATGTCTGTTTAAAAGCATAACTGTCAATTTTAACCTAGAAAGATAACGAAAGGTCTTATAAATAGTGTTTACATTTTTATTTAAAAAAAGTATTGCTTAGATAAGAATTTCATATAAGATAACACTTAAAAAATTTTAGATTATAAATTTTAAATTGTTTTAAAAAATTTTATAAATTCCTAGATAAACAAATGCAGCTTGCTTTATTTTCCTCTTTAATTGTTAAATATTTAAAAGAAAAAAGTTCAATTAAAAAAGTTTCACAAATTTTATTTAAGGAAAATACTGCATTAGAAAATTTCTGCTTAGTATCTATTAAAATTGAGTAGAGAGAGTAGTAGTAGTCCTTTATTCAATTAAAATTGCAGAATACAGCTGAAATCTGAAGAATAGAGAGATAAGAAAAAATATAATAATAGAGAGATAAATAAAACTGAAAGCTTCTATGATTTCCTTTAAGAATAAACCTTGTCTAATACACTGGTTTGCAAAACTTAAGCAACAAGTGGTTTTACGGCCACAGCTCCCCAACAAAGTATAAGATAGCCATGAAATTGCAGTACAATATGCACGTAATTCAGTAGAAAGATTATTTGTATGCAAATTTCAGAAATAAAACGTCGTAGGTGATGTAAGTGTATGTAAACCTTGTAGGTCAGAGCTGTGATAAAAGGATGAAGAGCACCGTAGTTAAAGACATTCGCTGCAAGTGCAAGTGATTTGTTTTGTGAAACATGTCTTCAAGAAATCATTTAGACGACTTTACTCGAGGAAGAATGATTGGGAAGCTTGAGGACCAGTAGAACATAGTGCTACCAGTGTCGCCGAAGAGTTCGGGATCAACAAAAGTGTTGTTTCTTGTGCTTGGAATGCCTTTAAAACTACTGGTACAGCCCAAATAAAGCCTTTTTCTGTTCCATGCCCTACTTTAAGCTTTATATTCATTTCTGAGCCATTATTCTTTCACCATTATTTAAGTACAAAATAATGTACATCATATTCAAATTGCATGTCAATTGGATGATTTCTTGTAGAGTTATGACAAAAAACGCACTTGTTGCTTAATTTTTGCACACCAGTGTATATACATATATAGTAACAATTATTGCTATAGGGAGATTTTTTTTACACTAATGGCAGTAATCCATTAATAAAAGATAACATATGTTATTTAGTCAAATAAATTTATTCTAGTTATTTGCTAAGGTCTTTCTGATCCTCTTTTATATAGAATGCGAATTTCTTTCAAATCTTTTTGATAATTCATGAGAATAAGCTGAAGTTTTAACCTTTTGTTCAATATTTTCTGTTCAATATTTATTTTATCTTTTTGAACCTATTCCATTGAATAAAGTTTAGTTTAGACCTTAAAAGTAATTTTGCTTTAACTATGCATAAATGCTGGTCCTTAATTAATATGCTATTGCTGTTTCATTTAAATTGCATTTAAGAAAAAGCTATGTGCAGTGCATACAAAATAAATTAAATACCCTGAATATCTTACCTAATGATCCTATTCTCATCACTAGAACCAAATCCTAATAGTTCGAGGGGATGATCTCAATTATACTAATTGGTTAGTGCAGATGACAATTTAGGTTATGAAACCAGACACTAATACAAAAATGTACCTCCTGTGAATAAAAACACTCTTTTTTACCATTGATTTGGATACTGACATTCAGAATATAGGGGGAAGCCACAATCTAGAAAATATGGTCCCAATAGTTTTGGCATGCAAACAGTCCAAAGTTAGGGGCTTGGTCCAAGTCAGGAGAGCGATCCAATGTTAATTCTGCTTTTTGGGCATTTCGCCATATCTCGAGAATTTTTTTAAGCAAATTGAAAGATTTTTGCACACACTAATAAATTTGTTTATCCAAAGATAACTTCAGGCAAAAAATAATTTTTTTGTCTTCTTTCATTATTTTATTTAATAAGAGTTGAAAAATTTTGAAGTGTAAGGTATATAAGATAAACATTATAAGATATATAGGATATACAAATTTTTACATCATTCAAAAAATTTAATTCTTGATAAAATACCAAATTTGAATGAAATTGGTCAAATATAGAAATTCAAATAAAAGACTTCATTCTATTTCTCGGGAACTATTTAACTGATTTTGTTCAAAGTTTGTATGTTTCTATATACAGTCTTTAAAGAGAAAAAAAAAATTATTTGTATACCGCACAATTCGAAATGTTTTCAAATATTATTAAGTAAAATAATAAAAAAAAACAATTAATAAGGGATAAAATTATTTTTTGCAAGAAGTCACCACTGGATAGACCAATTCCATAATTGTGTGCAAAAATTTTTCCATTCACTTAAGAAATTCTCAAAACATTCCAAACTAAGCAAAAAGTAAAATTAACATTAAAGGGTCCACAATTTTGACCGCTTTCCTGAACATTATTCTCAGATTACAACCACCCCCAATATTTTGAAGGCAAGGTAAAAATTTACCAAAAAAAGGTAAGTTTATTCAGAGAAAGTATGTTTTGTGTCTAGTTTCGTAACTAAAAAATCATCTACATTAATTAATTGACATATTTGAAGTTACTTCCTTGAACCATTATTGGAGCAGACTGTCACATACACAAGCAACAATCAAACGCTTTCATTTCCAGTCCGACACATGCACTTTCTCGTTAACTCCCGACCATCCCATATTTGTGAGAGTGTTTTGGAATGTTTTAAAAACTATAATTTTAGGAACAGAATAGCATTGCATCTACATAGGAACACTAGAACCAAATCCTAATAGTTCGAGGAGATGATCTCAATAATGCTAATTAGTTAGTGCAGATGACAATTTAGGTTATGAAACCAGACACTAATACAAAAATGTACCTCCTGTGAATAAAAACACTCTTTTTTTCAATTGATTTGGATTCTGATCAGAATATTCACACAATCTAGAAAATATGGTCCCAATAGTTTTGGCATGCAAACAGTCCAAAGTTTGGGGCTTGGTCCAAGTCAGGAGAGCGGTCCAATGTTAATTCTGCTTTTTGCACATTTCGCCATATCTCGAGAATTTTTTTAAGCGATTTGAAAGATTTTTGCACACACTAATAAATTTGTTTATCCAAAGATAACTTCAGGCAAAAAATAATTTTTAATATTTTTTTTTGTCTTCTTTCATTATTTTATTTAATAAGAGTTGACAAATTTTGAAGTGTAAGGTATATAAGATACAGAAATTTAAGATAAACATTGTAAGATATACATTGTAAGTTATACAAATTTTTACATCATTTAAAAAAATGTAATTCATGATAAAATACCAAATTTGAATGAAATTGGTCAAATATTCCTCAAATAAAAGACTTCTTTAAAATTCTATTTCTCAGGAACTATTTAACTAATTTTGTTCAAAGTTTGTATGTTTCTATATACAATTTCAGTCTCTAAAGAGATAAAAAAAAAAGATTTTATACCGTACAATTCAAAATGTTTTCAACTATTATTAAATAAAATAATAAAAAACAATTAATAAGGGATAAAAAAAAAAATTTTGCAAGAAGTCACCACTGGATAAGCCAATTCCATAATTGTGTGCAAAAATTTTTCCATTCACTTAAGAAATTCTCAAAACATTCCAAACTAAGCAAAAAGTAAAATTATCATTAAAGGGTCCAAAATTTTGACCGCTTTCCTGAGCATTATTTTCTCAGATTACAACCACCCCCAATATTTTGAAGGAAAGGTAAAAATTTGCCAAAAAACGGTAAGTTTATTCAGAGAAAGTATGTTTTGTGTCTAGTTTCATAACTAAAAAATCATCTACATTAATTAATTGACATATTTGAAGTCACTTCCTTGAACCATTATTGGAGCAAGACTGTCACATACACAAGCAAGAATCAAATGCTCTCATTTCCAGTCCGACACATGCACCATCTCCCGACCTTTCCATATTTGTGACAGTGCTTTGGAATGTTTTAAAAAGTATAATTTTAGGAAAAGAATAGCATTGCATCTCCATAGGATTTGAAATACAAATAGATTTGAGCTTGTTTCATTGGGAAAGGATTGAGTTTTAGTATGCGAAAATTCAATCATTACATTAAAGTAATACAGGATATTTCGCTTATTATTTTGCATTAGTTCTGAGCACAAATAAGCCCACTGTATTTGATAAATAATTTCCAGAAAGCAATAAATACTTTTCAAAACAATATTTTCATTTTCTTTATTATTGAAATCGATAAAAAGTCAGCATTTCCAGAGCAATTCAACATATTTATTCTCAAGACAAAAATAATTTTTATATTGTCTTAAGCAACATTTTACATCATGTCAATAAATATAATTATTATGTCAAAATTTTTGAAAGTTAATCAAATAGTAATTAAATAAGAAATTAAAAATGTATTATTTTAAATTAAAATGTTTATTTATATTACCTAAATTTTTCAAAAAGAAAGCTGGACTTGCTCTTCCTCATCGCCACTCTCTTTTGTGTCAGATACCTGTAACATTTTATTTTGGTAATCAATCAGATATCAAAATTTTAAAACTAACATTCTGAAAGTATTTTTGTAAAGTTTTCACCAGAAAATTTTAAATTATTTTCATTTCATGGGTTTAATCAAGGCAAATAACACTGCAGATAACAATATGCAGTGGTTCATAGATAACAGTGCCTGAAAAAAATTAATATTGTAACACTCCAAAAATAAGAAATATCTGAAAATATCTTTTTTTTTCTTCTTAAATTGTAATTAGAAGTTCTTACAATTCTTTTTCATCAATTAATAGCACTTTTAAATGCAATAAACATGTTTTAATTTCAAGTTTTTAATTTTTGTGACCAATGACATGAATGTGGCAATGTGGTCAAAACCGTGAACAGACCACCTTTACTTCCCAGTCAAGCTGGGTGGGGTTTAAGACATCACTGGGGATTGAGCCCCAGTTCTTCATAATGACAGTTCAGCGAAACTTAACACTTAATATTTTTAAAATTTATATATTAATGAATCAGCATTTATTTTTAGCTGAAATTTAGTTACTATAAAATAATAAAACTGAACAAATTGAATACCTTAAAAATTTGAGGAGTTCTTAAAAATAAAGATTTGATCTACTTATGGGGATGAGGATGTGTAAATAACAGAACCATTCCATAACTTTGGACTGTTGTATGCTGATCAACTTATGGTAAGCATTTTTTTTCCTTGACAGCAGCTGAACTTAAAAGCTAAAAGCAATTTTAAAAAAATAATTTTTTTTTAATTGTTCAGATATTGAATGTTAATTTAAGATAAAGCATTAACATTTATGATTATACTTTTTTTTAACTTGTCCAAAGGACCACTTTTAGGAGACCGGGACCTGCATATATTAAGGGGGCTTGTTTGAATAATTTTTTAAAAAAATAGCTTTGAATAGTTCTTAAAAAGTGTTTCACTACAATAATAACTACAAATATATTGTTTTACAATATCTTTGCTTGGTTTTTATAAATGAATAACTTTAAAACATTTACAAAATTTTAGTATTCTTTAAAAAACAAAATGTATTTTTTTTTAAAAATGGCATCAAAATTTTAATTAAGATCCTTCCTTTTAACTCCCTGAATAAAATTGAATTCCACCAAACATAAAATTGTACCTTTAATTTCAATTGTATGGAGAAACAATTAATGTAATAAATTGTTTCTTCAAATTTTGAAATCATTTTTCAAATATAGTGTGCGTGAATAATTTTATATCATTTTGAAAAGAAAAAAAAACTATTTTTCAAGTTTTTCTATTTCAAAATTTTAAAAATAAATAAAAGAAAGAAATAAGCTTTTTCTGATAAGAAAAATATAATTTGAACTCTCAGTAGTACACTACATCATAATGAAATTTTCTGTCCCAATACTAATTCCTAAATCAATATTATTTTAGAATTTAGATGTCAAAAAGTCTACCATTTTTAATTCATCATTGATAAATAAAATTATAAAATTGAAGTTTTTAGGCATGAAGTTAAAATTTAAAATAAAATTTGTATATAGATGACTGTTCCATTATTTTGTATTCACACTTCGAAAAGTTACTTATTTAATAATGTTTAAGAGAACTTTATCATTCATATTTTAATATATATTTTATAATAATTTTTAACACATTTAAGAACATACTCTAAAATCTTTTTTACAAAAGGAAGTACTAGTTTAAATTTTGTTATGTAAATTTTATTTTATTTCACACATAATTTTCCTAAATAATTAGTAAGATACAAAAAAAAATCAGATTTATAGCTTTCAAGTGCCGATTGTTAAAGTTCTATTATTTTAACGAAAAGAGTATTTTCTCTTTTCTGCTACAATCAAGAAAATTTCCTGTTGAATACTTTTTTTTATAAAAAAATTATACTTTTTAAATAGAGTCACAGCAATTTCAGCCTTTGGCAGTTCTATAATTTAAATGAATTTTAAAATCTCATCCCAAAATTCCACATAGACTTTAAATGTTTTTCTATAACTCAAAATCTTTAAATATATCTATTAAATAATGTGAACCAACTTTCGCATTCTGAACTTAAAATTTCATCTTAAGTCCTTTTTTCTTTGCCTAACTACAATTTTTTAGATTACAACATTACTAAAACAATGTCAGTTTGAAATTTTAAGAACAGAAAAATAACAATATTTGTAAGGAAAATTACCTGATTATTTTTATTTTGAATTGCAATTTTATTATCTATTTTTAACACCAAAAAAGATTATTTTTCATTGAAGTGTTCGATATTATTTGTGAGAGTTCATATTTTCAAGACAACTTGTTATGAGGTCTGAAAATTTGCTTGAAGAAAATAAATTTAAATACCTATGGTACAAAAATATTTAAACCATATTTGATTTTTTTAACTGTATTAAGTTCATTGTTCCTAACAAAAAAAATACCTATTTTAAAATGTTAATAAAACCAAAATGAGAATACTTTGTTTTAAATATTTACTGCTACAGTTAAAAACTAATTATCTGGAAATTCCAAGATTGTGTCTATGCTGGACTTCTGAATATGTATAAAGCAGTGCTAATTGATTGTTCATAAAACCAAGGCAGTCAAGTTGAGTGACAAATTAATACATCCATTTACAGCTCACTATCAGATTTGAGGATAACTTTAAAACTATATAGACCTAAATTTAAATGAAAATTAGCTCAATCCATATTTTGCTTTTACCAAAAATTATTTAAATTTTTTTTTTCTCACAGATTTGTTTTGAATGCTTTAGTACCACTAATAAAAGCAAACTAACTCACTTTTCAGCAAGTGGGTTTGCACTGTCATTGGAATGGAAAAAATTATTTAAATGATACGAAAAATATATTTTATTATTTTATAATTAAAAAAATAAAGATAGGTTCCAAATAAAAAAAAATACATGCAATTCTCAAGAATGAGGTTATGCATGTTGATTACTTCCCAGCTTACTACACTCCCCCCTCTTTTTTACGATTTCTGCATATTAAAAATAACAACAGCTTAGAAATTTTTATAATATTACTATATTAGGTACTATATTATTTTACAATAATACTGCACTAAGTCATAATCCATTTTGGAGAGTTTAGTTCCTCCCGTCTATGTCTTCTAGACTAATATCGTCTTGAAATACTTAGTAGATGTATACATTATTTCCCATAATTTCATTTTTTTTTTTTACCTTAAAAGGAAATATTTGTCCCCTTCCTTCATTTCCTTACAAACATACAACTTTTAGGAATTAAAGTTTCAATACTTTTATTTTAAAGAGCAACTGCTTTCATTATTTGCATCATAGAGCAAATTAATAAGAAATAACCATTATGATACATCTAAAAAATATTATGTAAAACTTTTTTTTGACCTCACTGAGATTAAAAAATAAACATTTTCAAAAAAGCTTGTCTCCTCTGTCTCATAGGATTACCATGTATGCAGTTTAAAGTAAAAGGTCGAAATTGATACTAAAAATAAATTTAAAAATGATATTTAAATATTAAAAAAATGGGATTTTTTTCAAAAAAGTGACTTAATATGTTTATAAAACGTAAAAAGTAATGTAATAAGTAACATAATATGTTAAGCAAATGTTGATCACATGAAAAACTTAGACAATTCAAAGTCTCTATGTCTTAGGATTGTATAATTTTCACTGTTTGAGTTGTTAGTGCTTACAAAACCAGATTTCTTGCAACAGTATGTAAGAATATTTAAGTAACCCTTTTAAAATTAATAACCCAACAATAGAACATTTTTTTTGAAATCATGGTTGAAAAATTTTCTAGAATGCTTTTAAAAAATTTTTTTTATTGGTTACAAAAAGGTTATAATATCAGTAAAAATTTTACCTCTGCTTTTATTAAGTTATATCTTTTTTCCTATTTTATTTTTTTGAGAAAAAGAGTAGCAAATAATTTTTTAAAAAATTATTTGTGGTTAAAATTAGTACTCTCACATTATTTATTTTAATATTTACCTGAAAAACCTATATATATGGATAATGATTAGTATAGAAGCTACTTAAAAATCACAGTATAGAAAATGAACATGATTTTCAACACACCAAAAACATAAATCCATTTGTTTAAAAGAGAAATGTTAAGAATATAACCAAAAGTTAAATCAATCCAGTGATGAAGTCATTCAGATACACAAGAAAGCATTTCTATACTTTGCCACAAAATCTTCTGGACTATCACACCACCATGGAATACCAAGGTCATTAAAGTCTGAATAGAATTTAAGAAAATCAGAGAATCGGAAAAAAATTCTGGTATACATTCATCTATATACTTGAAACTTGTAATGCTCACACTCACTGAAACCATTTCAACAGTACGAATTCAAGGGGAACTATCCACTTCTTTTGAAATTCATAATGGAGTTAGACAGGGAGATGCATTAGCATGTCTTCTGTTCAACATAGCCTTAGAAAAAGTTATTAGAGATGCTGGCATAAATACTACAGGTACTATATTTAATAAATCAGTGCAGATTTTGGCATACGCCGATGATGTAGATATCATCGCAAGATCTAGGACAGCACTGAGTGAAAATTTTTTGGCACTGGAAAAATCAGCTAGAAAAATTAACTTAAGAGTGAATGTAGAGAAAACAAAATATATGTATTGTGGTACAAAGGAAACCATCCCTAAATTGTTTAAAATAGATTCTTTTAAATTTGAATCTGTAAAAAATTTTACTTATCTAGGATCAGAAATAAACTATCAAAATGACATCAATCCTGAAATTAGAAAAAGAATAATCGCAGCCAATCGCTGCTTCTATGGTTTAAGATCATTATTGAAATCTCACTTAATAAAAAGAAAGACTAAGATCTTACTTTATAAGGTATTAATCAAGTCAGTTTTGACTTATGCTTCAGAGACATGGACTTTAACAAAAAGGGAAGAAAAGTTATTAGCAACCTTCGAAAGGAAGGTCCTACGAACCATCTTTGGCCCTATACTCGATAACGACAACTGGAGGAAAAGATATAATTTTGAAATATATAGGATCTTTGATGGCGATGATATCATTAAATCTATTAAATTAAGTAGAATGAGATGGGCCGGGCATGTAGTGAGAATGAGCCCAGAACGAACAGCATTGAGAGTCTCTAATGCAACCCCCTCCAATAAAAGGCCAAGAGGAAGGCCCAAAAAGAGATGGAAGGACTGTGTAGATGAGGATTTTGCCATCCTAAAAGTAAAGAACTGGAAAACAATTGCTGGGAGAAGGACAGAATGGGAAAAGCTTCTGAGGAAGGCTCAGGCTCACAAAGGGCTGTCGTGCCAATGCTGATGATGATGATATATTCATCTGGTGTCCATTCCTGTGAAAGATTTAAAAGTTTGAATAAGAAACTTTATTGCAGTGGAAAGTTAACAGCGACTATAAAAATGTAATGACTATAATCATATAATTTTTTTTAATCCCACAATAGAGAAGATTAATTCTTAATGATACATTTAGTTAGAGTGTCTACCAAGAGGTCAGTAAGTCAATATTTAAAACTTCCTAAACTGTAATATGCACACACACCAAAGGTTTATTTACTCATAAAATAATCTAAGTATGTAACTGAACACACGTTTATTACATCAAAACTAGTAATATATGTGTTTTTATCTCAGTTTTCTGGCATAATCTGTTTTCTTCAAATTTTTGTATCTTTTATCTTAATCTAAAGAAAATGTTCTTTGAAAGGTTATTTTTAGACAGAAATAAAAATTCACTTCTTTCTACTGTCTTTTCTTTATCAATGATTACAACATTCAAAGGGTTTTCGCCTATCCACCTATCATTATTTTGTCTATATCTTCCAACCTGATTTAAGTAATTAAAGAAAAAATAGAATTCACAGTATTGTTGCTTCATAATTATTACAAAATGAGAAAAACACAGGAGGGTCTTATTTTATAAATTACTAAAAAAAGAGAAGTTGAGTCTATGAAACACAGTAATTCGATGTTTTAAATCTGATTATCAAAAAATTATTTTATGAGACACATTTTAAAATAAAAAAAATCTTTCAAAAAAGTGGATAATTTATTTGTTTTTAGAATTATACATTTTCTTTGCAAAATTTATGTAACCTCAAAATCTTCATTTCTTTAAAAATTTTATGCTTCTTTTCAAAATTTAGTCTCCTAAACAGATAGTTTTTTAATAAAATTCTATGACTTATAAACAACATCACCTCTCACTTTCATCGAGCAACATGGATAATATTTCATTAGGAGAGGGCAGATAAAAATAAGATAGCTTTTGAAAAATAAATGACAAAAGTTCCTTAAAGTATAATTTAAAATATTTAACTTAAATTATGGTTACACATAAATAAAATTTGTCACACAGTTCCATTCGTTTTTTTTTCTTCATTTATTTACTTAAATTGAGGTATCAAGCAAAATCTCATAGTTTGATGTACCATTGTTTAAATTTTTAAAATAATAGCTACAAGAAAAGTAGTTTACATTTTATGTTTACTTTCAATAAAGGAAATCATTGGAATAACTTTTGTGATAAATGATTTGTAACTGAAAATCTGAAAATGTGTATGTTATAGAAATGTCCATGCTATGAGGCAAAAATAGATTAATTGTCCACCAATTAATTAATAGTGAATAAATATTTTTGTAAATCATTTATCAATTTTTTTTTAATCATTTTAGTTCAATACCTTTTGCCAACAGTAGCATGATTCTACGCACACATAATATTTATTTTTTGCTGGTAAAAAACTGATCCAAGTAATACTTCATTTTCGTATTTGAAGTAAAGGTTTAATTGTCTAAAACATTTGGTAGAGACTGGAACAATATTGTACAGCATCCACATAACATCTAATGTGTGGAACAGTTGATTGCATATGACAGCTTAGTCCAATAATATTAGTAGTTTGGAATTAATAATACTTTTGAACT